ACTCCTGCATCAACGTCAGCAGTTGCGGTGTATGTGCTGTTCTCGTTCAATTAAATGACTCTGGACGGTAAATGGTTGTCGCATACACTAGCTGAGTGCTTACTGCTACCAAGAACTATATCATCACTGAGTAGGAGTGCCTCGCTGCGGTTTGGTCCGTACAAGGTCCATCCTTATTTGTACAGCCGTTCATTCGCCATCGTAATGAACCACCACGCCTTATGCTGGCTTTCTACATTGAAGAACTTGTCCGGGCGCTTGGGTAGTTGGATTTTACGCTTACTGGAGTATCAGTTTGAGATTATTTACAAATCTGGCAAAAAACATTAAAACGCTGACACCCTTTCTCGTTGCCCACTACCTAGGGCTCCGATCGACACTCCCACTGCCATCTCCAACAACACCACTGCAGACGTGACTCCCAGTTCTGTTGTCTTGCTCGCCTCGCTCTATCAGCTCTCCGTCGACGATGACCAACCCTTAAGTTCTCGCCAGCAGGCTGACCTGTACTGTCAGCGCATTATAGACTACCTTTCAGGAGCTGCGCGTCCACAGAGTGCACAGCTTCGTCGACAACTTGAGCACTTTAAACTTCAGGATGTTGTGCTGTATCGTCACATTTACCATCCTGTCTGTCAGCGCTGGGTACCTGTTCTGCCACACTCTCTTCGACATTATGTGCCTAACACCTCTCACGACGATTTGACTGCTGGCCATCTCGGCTTTTACAAAACCTACGACCACTTTCAAAGTCGCTTTTGTTGGCCTGGCCTTTTTACCAGCGTAGCAAGGTACGTGGGTTCTCCGTGCCAACTTCGCAAACTTCCAACATCACCTCTTGCCGGTCAATTTCAACACCTTTTGAGGTCATTAATGTCGATCTTTATGGGCCCCTTCGTGTTACTGGCTCTGGAAATAGATGGATAGTCACCGCCGTAGACCAACTGACACGTTACGCCGAGACAACTTCAGTAGTTACTGGTTAAGCATCAGAAGTTGCTGACTTTGTCCTTCAGGCCATAATTCTACGTCATGGTGCTCCTCGCGTACTTCTAAGTGACCGTGGAAAGGTGTTCTATTCACAGCTTTTAAGTGAAGTTCTACGCATTTCTGGCACTACACACAAGACGGCATCTTCAAACAAACGATCTGACCGAGCGATTTCATCGAACCCTTGCTGACATGATCATCATGCACATTCAACCGCATCACAAAAACTGGGATAAACTTTTACCGCTCCTCACTTTCGCCTACAACACTGCTGTTCAGTGCACAATAAGCTACTCACCGTTTTACCTCGTTTAGGAATGTTCATTTACTTTTTTTATCGACGTTTCCTTCTTCACCAACAATGGCCTTCTATTACCGTCTTCTTGTGAAGAATATATTTCTTGCCTTGCCTAGTGCCGCGAGCGTGCGCATATGAACAAGCAAGCTATGTAACAAGCAAGGAAGGTCATTTACGACACCTCTTATCGTGTGGTGTCATTCCAACTGTGTGACAAAGTGCTGCTATTGGCACCAATTTGCACACCTGGTCTGTGCGACAAGTTCCAGCCTCGATTAATTTGCCCATATGTAGTTTTAGAGCAGACTTATTCTGTCAATTATCGCGTCACGCCTCTTGTCGTGCCAACTGACCTCCGTTACTGCAGCAGCGAAATCGTACATGTTTCCCGCATGAAGCTTTTCACATGACGTTCCTCGTCACCTTGACTACCTGCCCTCAGCTGCCTGGCTGGCCGCCTCTATGTGAGAAGAATTAGTGTAGGCATCTATTATGCACTTCATCCTCATCTGGACAGCAGTCAATGATCATCAGCTGTTCTGGCTGAAAGTCATCATCGTCTTTGAACGTGCACTTCATCTTCGGGTCCGCTGTGCCTGTTAGCTCCCGAGTTCACGACCAATTGTCATGGGTGGGCAGCCCCTCTTCCCCCTGCCTGCCCATGCCAATTTCGTCTTCTTGATTTTGACTATGATGTCCATAACAGCTATTTCCAAGAACCTACATCGAGGCGGGGGCTGTATTGCTCCCCTTGCAGAAGCTACAGTGAAGATGACGACAAGGCAAACCATTGACAAAACTGAGCAAGAAGACAGCGCTGCTAATTGTGTGCAGAAAAACCTAATTGCTAATTGTGTGCAGAGGAAGGGGTCGTGGAATGTGGCTCTTAATAGGAAACCGCTAGCAGTCACACGCACTAAGTAGGAGATAAGAATAGTGGACCTGCATGGACGATTACCGAGGCAAAGCCTCGGTAAGCTTATCGAGCATGGACACTTTACCGTGATCACTGTCCATGCAGGTGTACTCTTGTTACGCTGACGTTACTTAAAACGTCACATATACTCCAACTCTGAAGTGTCTTCAGCACTGTGAAGGCTACCTTTTGCCAATAAGAAGGACGAGTAGCCCCTCCACATTTGCGCCCCATTGTCTGCTAAGCTAATGCTTTGCTAAGCGTCTCTCTGGCATCTGCGCGCACTCGTTCGGTGAGCAGACAGCAGCATAAAAAAAAAAAAAGAACATAGCTGCACACAATGACAATGTTGGCCTTTGCCTGAAGTTTTATTACACCAGCTTCGTATTCTCTTTCGCACGAAAGTTCCAAACTGATGCTTGTATTTGGTCGAGATTTATGTCTTTGCGTTTCGTATTTGTGACCACACTCGGCTACTTTCTGTAACTGCTATCAAATTTTTGGCATGTTAGGCTGTGGTTAAAGAAACAGCTTATCTCACTACTAACGGCAAAGCCAACCTGGTACTTTGTTCTGATCGTGAGATGGCACAAAGTGAATTACACCATTCATTTGTTGCTTTGAGCGATCGGGGTGAGCGCCACGGGAAAGTTCCGATCGAAGCGGGTGCTTGAGTCTGCAAGAGCGCTGCCATTTTGACTTTTAGCCACAAGTACCATTGACTACTTATACAACAATAAAAAAAAGTGCGCCGTGAATCTGATGAAGACTAAACATATTAGTTATTAATGTGCAGCAGCGGCTAAACAAGGGCAAAAGTCTGAACCTTGCCAATTGCAAAACAATAATATCTGGAACTATGTTTTCTTATGCAAGCACAACGCCTGCTTTCACTCCGTAGCTTTGGCAGAGCTGAACCATAGTGGTGAGACATATAGTTGGTGCGTGTGGCTGCTGGTGGTTTGGCATTGTTTCAGGAGCAACCTTTTCATGACCCCTTTAAAAATATCATTTTTCTTGACACTCTGTTGGTTGCTTACGTGATTGCAGAGGTTTGCTGTCATATGTAATTGTCACGTCACCATAATTATTTAGTGACCCGCCACGGTGACCTAGTGGCTAAGGCACTCGGTTGCTGATCCACAGGTCATAGGATCGATTTCGTGCTGCATTTATTTTGGAGGCGAAAAAGCGGAAGGTTTGTGTGCTTAGATATAGGTGCACGTTAAAGAGCCCCAGGTTGTCTAAATTTCAGAAGCCGTCCACTACGACGTCTCTCATAATTGTATGGGTGTTTTGGGACATATAAACACCAGTAATTATTAATAAAATATTAGATACGAAGCAGCTCTTTGACTAGCTTGTGTAACGCTGTCCATGCGTGCCTCCATGCCAAGGCGCCGCACCGCATTCCCCCTGCTGCAGTTGTTGGAACAATGTCAAGTGGGTCAAGTCACAGTTGTTTGTTGACGTCACTTTCTCTCTCACCCGCAGCAGCTGCCGACTCCTCCCAACACACCTAGATGGTGATGCTCCTCTGCTCGCTCACAGCACACTTTTCCTCGCTTCACTCTCTCCACCGCCCACAACGCTCGACACCATGTTGAGTGGAAACACTCTTTCGGCTCGTTTACCTGCGATGAAACTTGCACGAAACTCGACCTGCCGCCCATGTCTTTGCGTTTCAAAGAAACGTTTACTCGAGTAAAGGGTACACCGAGTTTCACTTCAAACTGTGTCTGTGTCAACACCCGTTTGAGCCGGGTCAACGGTGCGCATCGCTGCGGCTTCGCATCTCATCTTGGTTCTCTTCGGAGAGATGGTTCATAATTTTTTGCAATAGTAACTAAATTGACACTCTCGGATGATTTTTGCCGCTGCAGTGATGTGTCCGATATGTATATGTACCTATATACATGAAAAATGCACTAAGAACAATAAATCAGTACAAAAATTCCAAAGCCAGGGATTTCAACGAGCTACACTAGCCAACACAGCCACTCTCCATGCTTGTGCCAGTGATCTAATGGCGAGCTAATTATATGCACTATTTACAGCTCGCGGTGTGTAAATCTAAGTATTGATTGAGCGTATTTTCTATCACCAATGCTTTCACAATTTTTTTCAAACTGAAAACTGCCCTTGAGATGAAAAAGAAAAGAACACGGGGCACACAAGGCAACAGACATTATTGCGTGACAGGAGACGCAGAGGGGTCATTTCATATGCTGTAGTTAAAAAGAAAAAGAAAAAAATCAGTGTCGGCTTTTGCATTGTGGACATTTGCAGCGTGCTCCTCAAATACTACAAGCACACAACAGGTATGACGGTTGTTAGTTCACACTTGTCCTGTGTATAGCTATGTGTTCTTTCCTAGTGTCCTTCTTAGTGCTACAGCAGCATGCTGGAGGTATCGAGCTGCTTGCCATTGTTCGTGTGAGACTGTAATTTCTTGCTATCGTATTTATTGCTTTGCCCTAGTGGCGAAACAGTGACTTTTATTCTTTATCGACCTCATATGGGATAACAATTGTTTGTGACAAAATATACCTCACACGTAGGAGTTCAGACCAAAGACTCTGTAGGACATCTGGTTGGCGCAAGCACAAATATGCAATAAATAACTACAACAGTAGAGTGTGCATCTGGACTCGTTGGTTCATCTACAGTAGAAAACAGCGTTAAAAAGATTGGTTTGTGTCGATTTTTTTTGTTGAAATAACTACGTGCTCAGCTATTTGGTGTCTCTGAATATTGTTTGTGTTTTCTAACTTTGTATGTCTTTGGTGAACGCAGGTGAGCAAAGTGGGCGTATTCAGTTGCGGGCCTTCAGCACTCACAAAAAGCGTGAGTTCTGCCTGCGAAACGGTCAACAACAACCGGAAGCTGCCGTACTTCATACACCACTACGAGAACTTTTGACGATTGCACGTCTGACGCCATACTGCCAAAAATGAAACCAACTGTGATGATTATAGCAGTGCATGCTGCCTGCCCGTTCTCGCTACGTATCTGGCTATGCTGACGGCTCGTCTGATGCACCCCTAGACCTAGACTCACTTGAGCTCACTGAAAAAAAGTTTTTTCTTTTATGCTTTTACGTTGCGGCCCTCGCCAACAAACATTCAAAATGACTGCATCTTTCGAAGTTACAGTGCAATGTTGGGCTGTCGTCCTCATCACTCGTGTGTTGTTAAAGCTTGTTATTGCGCGGCTGCATGATCATGCAATGGTGCCCGAAGTACACTTCACTAAGCCCTTTCTGTCCAAGTGAACATCAACCGTAAAACAGCAATGTTAGGCTGCTGTGCCCCTTTCTTGCTGCGTCATCATTCTCCTTAAGTTTTCGAAGAGGTACAGATTGATCAGCTCCCAAACTACAAAGCCTCAGTAATACTAGTGTTAGGGACGAAGTTTTTTTTTTTTTTCTGAATACGATGACACCAACAATATTTAGAACCAGTTTGGCTTAGTTTAGCGAGGAATGTACTGATAACGCTTTTCGACCGCCTGTGTCGCGTCCTGCTTTGCAAACTGCTTGCGCCTCGCACACTGATGGAAACTGACCTAAATGTCGATGTGCATGACTCTATGTGGCCGTCAAACTGTTCAGAAACGTTCTCAATAACTAAAGTAGTCCACAGGGGTGATTATTTTTTACTGAAGAGCTATCAAACGAGTAAAGGTACATCACAGAAAGTAAGCATGCAAAGCAGCTTTACTTAGTAAGGCTTTGTCACAATTTCAGTGTAATGATAGTAATTGAGGCGTTACTCAGTGTCTCACTCTAGGTGTTTGTTCCTTTCCTTAAACCATTATTATTATTAGTTCATCCTACTTAATGTCCCATGGCTTCCTTTCATGACGGCTATGACACTTTTCCTGTACCCACATGTGTTGCGCAGTCATTGATGTATTGCAACACTCTTGATGTTTTTTGTCCAGTTGCTTTTATTCACATGTTTTTAATAAAATATATTTTTATTCATGAGATGCAACTCATCCTATGACTGAAGTTCTGAGAGATCTCAAAGGAGAGTTTTAGAATAGCGCACAGAAAGCCTTGCGAATCTGTCATACCTTGACTCTCTGTGGACACGTCAAGTGACGGAGTTAACCGGGGACTGCAAGGACTGCAAAGCTTTTTGTACGCGATTCTAAAGCTCTGTAATGCTACCCATTCAATTAGTGCTGTGTGTTTGACTTTAAACCTATTGCGATGGGGACCTCCTTCGTGTAAACAGGTAAAATGCGAAAGTGAACCCTGTCTTCATGGCATTATAGTGGGCACCACTAGTTTACTGACCATGGGACGAAAACAAGAGCCTTCTTCCTCTCTTCCCGCTAATTAGTCAGACAGCCCTGAATTGATACTTGGGGCTTGTTCTATACAATGTAAAAAAAGTGTGCACTGTTCCATTCATCAAGGTAAAATTAAGAATCACTGAGAAATAAAACTTTCTCAGACCATAACTTGTAAACTGAAAATGCCAACTGTGCATCAGTTCACGAGAGTCTGCATGACTCCCACTGTTGTTTGGCAGCAGCAACACTGTTTGATATAAATTCACCCAGGTTGACGCTTAGTGGCACTTCTGCAGCCGATGACCCACGCCAAATAATGTAATACAATGCTTGTGGTAGTTGATTCAGCTCTTTATTGCAGACAAAAAGGTCCTGTACACAAGAGGAAAAGCCTGATGGTTCTGCCTGACAGCACTGTAGCACACGAATCCACACTCCAAGCATGGAAGAACAGAAATAACATTGTACACTGTTAATACATACAAACGCTGTTTGATACAAGGTGAAAAATTGCATAATTTTAGAATAATAAAGTTAAGTCAAGATACAACAAATAAAAAAAAAACCTAAGGAATATATAACCACTGCATATACAGCTGCTTAATCTTGAGGAGAGAGGGTAAGCCCTTGTTTTGCTTAGGAAGGGTATAAGGGCAGCAATTTCTGCATAATTTGTATGCCCTGTGTATGTTCCCTGATACTTGGAATTAAGTATATGCTAGCATTTGGGTTTCTTAGGTAATTTGCACAAGTTCAATTTTGATATTCGCGTGCCTTACAGGCACATTGCTACTACACTGTAGTTAAATATATTTAGATGGATTAAGCTCGGTTTCTTCAGAAGCATCGGAGAGCAAATTCACGTCATGTAGCTAGCTCACATTTAGAACAGAATTGTCCAAAAAGTACAAGCCTGGATGATCGTTGTATAAAAGGATTTCAACAGATGGTATTGCATTTTTATGGAATATTATCAATTTAGCAAAATCACTTTTGGCTGTCGGCCCTCAAATCAGTACACAGAAGTGAAGATGTGAATAAATTAGGCTGTAATTAAACTGCCATTTAAAAGATTTGTAAATGTTTCTAAGTTTGTGAAATGCACCGAACAACCTTGTAACGTTGGGCTCTATTTTATTATGCTCAGACCAAAATGATATTAAATGCGAAGCATTTCTCAGTGAACTTCGGTTACTTTGAGTGTATCTATCTAGCCGCTTACATTTCGATGCTCTCGTGGTCGCCCCCTTAACTTGGTGTGAACCAAACTTAGCATGGGAGGGTAAGATGGTTTGACGAATATGACTCGCTGGTCAAGACATGATTAATGTCGCAATGCGTCGTGTACGTCATCAAACACTTCCCACGAGACAGTGGCACACACCCACGGGCGAGTATGTGCCGCTAGTATGTGGATATGTGCCACAGGTGATTGACACTTAGTATATGTCTAGGAACGATGAAAACACACATGAGCAATTTAACGTGCGAGCGTTAAGAAATACCCAACATCGATAGCGTCGAACCGACAAGTGCAAAGAATAAATGTCAGTGTCTCAGCTGGAATCGAACCCAAGCACTCTGCATGGCAAAAAAGCATTTTACCACAGAGCTACACCAAGTCCAGGAATTACTTTTCAAATAGATGCCAATCTTCGAGAAACATCAATAGTGGTTGCAGTGCTACCTACTCAATTTTATAAACATTACACTGTACTCCTTTGATACAGCCGTAACGTTGGGTTAACATCAATTGTGGTTAGTTGCCATGTGGTGAAGTTGATTTAGGTAGCAGTTTCCAGGGCCAGGATCCTCGCGAGCATCAGCACTTCATATCAGCTTCAGGTGCTGCTAATATGCATGTTCCAGTTGGCATCATTGCACAAGTGCAAACAACTAATTATATAAACATCTGCAACTTTTCCACATACGTCTGTGCGGGCAACATTTATACATATATTTAACGTCATTTCATCACATGTCGTTCAATAAAGAATTGCAACACGGCCACCTTCCCTCTGCTTGCTTCTCATAACCGCGATTCCCAGGAACATGAGATCTGCCGAATTTTTTTCTTAAAGACACCTAGAAAGTTGTAGTATTGTACTATCTGATGGGCAGACGTGGAACCATCACTCCCCCTTTGCTCTTACATAAATCAGAGTGGTTTGCCTTGATTTAATTTCTCTGCTAGAAGGTACACCATACAGGAAGGCATTGCTATGTGCATTCTTTATTATTTGGCCTCACAAAGCCCAGACATCATTGTGCACTGTGAAAAGTGAAGGAAACTTGATCACTTTCAACCAATGGAGGTCACACAGTTATATTTAAAAAAGTTATTTCAGCTATTGATGAAGCTACATCCTCATTGACCTCGTTTCAATAAAGATGCAAAAAGGAAATGTATGCTCTCAAGTAACTATGGATATCCGGTAGGCATACGATAGGACGTACATATCGGATATTCCAGACATCCATCAAACGTCCACGAACGTGGACGTACATCAGATGTATAAAAATAATAAATTTGTACGTTTGTTCGACATCCCTCTAAGACAGCGAACTTCGACATTGACAGGCCCTTGAAAGGATATATATATATACATATATATAGATATATAATGTTTGTGTGTACATAGCTAGTGCATATTCAAGAAAAACCTTTCATGTGAACAACGTACCCACACAGCCCACTCGGAGGCCCATCTTTCTTCTGCAGGAGCTTTACTGCTGCAAATTAACTCTAAAAAAAATCCAAGCGGGCTTTCAAGAACAATCGAACCTTTAATATCAACATATATCAAGGCTAAAAAGCATATAACTCACAGTTCGCAGTCGCGATTGTGAAAGTGTGCATAGTCATAGTCAAGTGTGCATAGACAAGATTTCAGTGTTCAATGCTTTCCACCTTCAAGTGGGATGACTTTTAGGCTGCAGCAACTGCTTCTTTACGGATTTATTAAATTGAGTTATTAGCAACAAACCCAATTTGCACGTGTTTATGGCAATGTTATTCTAGTAATTGCAATACGTACATACAGACAAGCACAGAAGAAAAACTACTGGGTATAGCACGTGCTCCTTAAGAACGTTTACAAGCAATGGACACGTGCTCGTCCTAAATCGTCTAATAGCAAAGAATATGTGAGCAAATGAAGAGCTGCAAACATGCCACGTACTAGCATGGCCAATGCAAATGATGAACAATAGTTAACGCATGGTAAGAACAGGCAAATGTCCGATATGAGATAAAAAACAGTTGTGTAACATGTGGCATTATCTGTGTCGTGCGAGTGAGCGGCCTGTCTGCATCTTGCCGTGGTAATCTCTGCCGAAAACAGTGGTGGGCTCGTGCCGTGTTTCCGTGTTTCTTGTAGAAAAGTCGTCATTTGTAACTTCAGATGTTGCTGTTGATGCATCATGGGCGCACTTGAAAAAAAATCTTCCTTCTGTCGCTCGGGGACCAGCTCAGCGTACATTTGTGTGATGCGACAGGAATACCCTCATTTTTCATACTCCTTTCCTGAGTGCCCGTTGCTGGTTAAGCAGACTTCCAGACAATAGGCACAATGGCATGCCTTTCCTCCCAACACATCCAGAGGAGCATGGCTAGCATGACGTGTACATTTGAGGAATCTGAACAACTGCGGTGCACCTCTTGTAGAGAAGTGTCGAGGTAGGCGCATGAAAGTTCGCCTACATCATGACTGCTATGACCCTCTCGATCCGCGTTTTCCAACATTACTAGAACCAAGTCAAGTTCGCAGTACCGCGCGCGTGCCGGGACAAGTGGTTGACGTGTGAACTAATGGCTCTGCTGTTCCATTTCGCTCAACATGCTGCGCCGCTACAGTGGCTAGAATAGGAAAGTGTGATGAACGTGCCAGCTAGCGTGTAACACATTGAAAAGAAACCGCCAGGTAGCGCTGCCACACGTTTACACGTGTGCAAACGTGTACCAGTGCCATCCACCGTGCCACTTCAGTTCGGACTGTTACGGTGGATGGACGTGTTTTTTCAGCGCTCCCGAATGACTACGCAGATAAGTGATTTTGCATGTTTCGAACTTGCTTTTATAACTAATAAGGCAGCAGTTGAAACCTTTGTAGCAATTATTACATCGTACGGCTTTTTCGGGGGTCAGTCACCTGGTGTTTACTCGTTCGTGCGTGTGTTTGCATTTTTTTCTCTTGCCATCACATGGGGGAGGTGCTCCAACATCAAACACGCAAATTTTCGTAGTAGAGCTTAGACTTTCTTTTTTTTGTAGGGCAGGGTTCGTTGTACGCCGTGTTTTGAAATTATCGAGTGTAACAATTCATAAGGACAATTGATGTCATAAGGACACGGTTAAAAAGACTAAAATGTTCAGCATGCGGGTTGGGTTTGAAAATGGCCGCAAGTGCAGACGCGAATGAAGGGAAATCTAACACCAAGTGTAGGCAATGTGATGTCAAGGAAAAAAATGCAGAAAATGATGGGTGTTCAGAGTGAACTGTGATGAGAATCGCCGAGCTGGAAACAGCGTTGGCGACAGAGCAAGAGAAAACGAGGGCTATGGAACAAAGGCTCAAGTCTGTTGAGGAGGCATTAGCGAAAGTGAACAAAGTAGCGGCCGACAGAGAGAACGCTAGAGCACCGGCAACCAGAACGGCAGAGAAGAAAGAGCAAGCAAGTTTTAAAAG